TCGGCACTTTTCCATGACAAGGGCTTGGCGGATTCGGCAATTTAGCTTGACAAGGGGTTGGCAGACTTAACAATTTAGTGTGACATGTGACAAAGGGTTGGCGGATTTGGCACTTTGTTCATGACAATGGGTTGGCAGATTTGGCATTTTAGCCGACAAAGGGTTGGCGGATTTGGCGTTTTTCCTTGACGAAAGGCTGGTGGATTTAGCAATTCAGCCTGACAAAAGGTTGCGGGACTTAGCAGTCTAGATGGGAAAAGGGTGGGCGGATCCCGACACAGGGTGGATGGGTTTAGGAATTTCGCCCCACAAAAATGCGGCAAAAGAATTGTTTAGGCAACTTAGCTTGATTTCCGGTTGCTTAGTGATCAACTTTCCGCTAGAAACCCCATGCCCCAACCTTAATCAAAACCCTGAACCCTTAACCCTCAGGAAGTCCCCCACAGACATCCCTTGCTCCTGAGATTTATCAACCTTGGAACCTCACAGGGCTTCTAGGGTTCAGAACATGGCGCGCCCAGACCCGACACCTCAAATAGCAGAGCCCCAGCTCTAGACCGCAAAACCCACCCCCCACCAATCCCAACCCAGACAGCCGCGGAGCCGTTTGGGCTGAGTGCGTAATTCTCCTTTTCCCACAATCCCGACCAGTCCCGACCAGTCCCGACCAATCCCGACCAGTCCCGACCAGTCCCGACCAGTCCCTACCAGGATTGGTCTGGACTGGTCGGGACTGGTCGGGACTGGTCGAGTTCTGAAACAGAAAAAAATGAGGACAGATCTAAGGCTTCCAGGCAAGCGGCCTTCCCTGGCTGGGCACGGCCCCATGAATCAGACTGTTACATGATTGGGTTCTTGCGTGTGGACCCAACATCTGATTGGATTTCCTGGTGCTGTACATTTAAGTGGTGTGTGTGTGTGTTTAGTACAAATTCTAGTGTTTGATCTATCACAAGGAACTTGGACGTCTTCCAAACATTTTCTCAAAATCGGTCACCGATGGTAGTACTGAACACTGTTGCGAACCAAAAGCCCTAAAAATCAGTACCCGATGTCTGCTCTGAACATGTTTCGACCGAAAAATCCAGAAAATCAATGTGACTGAAAGATATAAAGAGCTAAAAATGCATGTTGCGAACAATGTATTTTCTCAAAATCGGTGATCGATGGTTGTACTGAACACTGTAAGGAGCCCGAAAAATCCTGAAAATCGGTGGTCGATGGCTGTATAATGGACATGTCTTGAGCTGAAAATTTCCTCAAACTCATGGACCGAAGGATGTAATGAGCTTAAAAATGAATGTTGCGAACCATGTACTTTTTCAAAATCGGTGATCGATGGTTGTACTGAACACTGCTAGGAGCCCAAAAATCCTCAAAATCGGTGGTCGATGGCTGTACAAGAGCTGAAAATTTCCTCAAACTCATGGACCCAAGGATGTAATGAGCTAAAAATGCCTGTCGCGTACCATGTATTTTCTCAAAATCAATGATCGATAATTGTCCTGAACACAGTTGCGAACCAAAAAATCCTCAAAATGAGTGGAACATGTTTGGACCTAAAAAATTGCTCGAAATCAAGGACCGAAGGATGTATTGGGCTAAAAATGCCTGTCGCGAACCATGTAATTCCTTAAAATCAGTGACCGATGTCTGTACCTAACATGTTTCGAGCTAAAAATTTCCGCAAAATCAGTGACCAAGAATGCAATAAACACAGAAACTTACATCTGAATACATTCCGCCCAACAAACAGCCAAATCTGCACACCCTTCCGCCCAGGAAAATGCCTTGCCTGCACACCCTCCCAGGAAATTTACTGGTTTTGATG